ACAAAAATCCTCACAACTGGACCAATAAACAGCATCATGATAAATGGAGAAAAGATTGAGATTGTCAAAGAATTCATGTTGCTTGGTTCTACAATCAATGCCAATGGAAGTAGCAGTCAAGACATTAGATGACGTGTAGCACTGGGCAGGTCAACCTTGAAGAAACTCTTTCAAGTGCTGAGGAGCAAGGATGTCTCCTTGAGGATTAAGGTGCGCTTGATACAAGTCATGATATTTCCAATCACCTCATATGCATGTGAGAGCTGGACAATGAATAAGGAAGACCGAAGAAGAGTTGAGTTGTGGTGCTGGCAAAGAATGTGGAAAGTACCATCGACTGCCAAAAGATCTAACAGATCTGACCTGGATGGAGGAAGTGCAGCTGAAATGCTCCTTGGAAGTGAGAACAGCCAGACTTTGTCTCACCTACTTGGGTCATGTTGTCAGAAGGGACCATTCCCTGGAGAAGGATGTCATGCTTGGTAAGGTGGAGGGTTCACGAAAGAGGGGAAAGCCTTCAACGAGATGGATTGACACGGTGGCTGCGACGATGGGCTCAAGTATAGCAGGGATCATGGAGCTGGTGCAGGATTGGATGGTGTTTTGTTCTGCTGTGCATGGGGTTGCTATGAGTTGGAAAAGACTCGATGGTACCTAACAACAATGACAGTGTGAGAGTTTCCTTGTGCTGGAAATAACTATAAAATCAAAAAATCAAATCAGGTGTCATTGAGTTGATTCTGACTCATGGATGCAGAGTGTCTCCCATGTGTGCAGAGTAGACTTGAGCTCCAGAGAGTTTTCATGGCCTTGAATCTTTGGCAATAGATTGCCAGACCTTTCTTCCAATCTTTCAGTTAGTAGCCTAGCATTTAACACTTTGCATCACTCTATAGGAATACTGGGAGCTCTGGTGAGGTAGTGCCTATGGCATTTGAGTGCTAACCAGAAGACTAGCAGTTTAAACCCACCAGCCACTCCTTGTAAGGATGATTGGGCAATCTATTTTCATAGTGATAATGCTTTGGAAACCCAAGGAGCATTTGGAGTCAGATCTGACTCCATGTCAGTGAGTTTGGTTTGTTGGTATAGGAATACAGTTTGAAGATTTTTTCCCTGGTTTTGTCCCCAAAAAGCTGATAGCATTTTTTGAATTCTATATTTCAAATTATAGTAATATATCATGAGTAACTCATAGTGTTTATTCAGTCTTCCCACTTAAAGATAATCTGTTTTGCTTTGTCCTTAATTGTTCTAAATTGTAGTAGTACTGGCTATTAAATTGTAAGGTGCCTAAATTTTGGATATTTTATATTTCTCATTAATTTGTGCTATGCTTTTCATCTTGAAGAAGGATTAAAAACTGTTCTGTTACTTCAAAAATGGCCAGTAATAAAGCAAAAATAAAATCTATTTGTGAAGAACATAGTGGTTTTCAAACTCTTTGTCCTTTAAAAAATAACCAAGTCTGTAAAAAATGTAATTGCCAAGAGCATATGTGAAGAGTAGTGCCGAGATCCAGCCTCAGCTGTGGGTCTCTGGAGGGAGAGGTGGCGTCGAGATGATGGAGACACTCACACAAGATGAAGATGTGCCCCACATAATGAGGTGGCCTTCTTTATTTTATACTATTTTGCAGATTACAAATGACAAAGCAAAATGACAAACCCACAATTCTAGGTACATGGCTGTGGGCTATTAACTTTCCAAAACTTATAAAACTATTATTAAACTTATAAACTAAACTTACATCTTATCTTATCTAACTTATCTATCATTAACATTATAAAAATAAAATGTGCCAGACAATGAGGTTAACTAAAACATGAAAAAATGATCAGGGTGAAGAATACAACACGGGGCCAGAACATGTGACCCAACCTTGTGGTTGGCACCATTCTCTGAATTACCACCAGCCTGGGGGTGCAGATGGGTCTACATAGTCCAGTAACATATACTTGTGGCCTTTTAGTTTCTTAAAATAACTGTTCCATTGCTTGATTAGAGTATGTCTCTGTGCAGTAGTTTTACATCTAGGCCCTGATCGTTTTAATCTCTTTAAGAAAGGGAGAGAATTAAAAGGAACTCTTTTTCCATCTACCCACACCATTCTTTTACCTTCTATGTATGCCCCAGTATAAGGAAGAGGAAGGTCAGGCCATCGGGAAGGTTTAGGCTCCCCTCCCCGAGGAGGATACCAAAGTCTACCATTAATTCTATAAGCTACATTAAAAGGAGGCTTAACTATAGGAGGCAGCCACTTAGGCCAAGGTTTTTTCCTATCAGGAGTAATCCCTTTTCTATGTTGTGTTGCAGGGGTTGGTATTGTAGGAGGTTGAGTAGCCATGAGATCTTTCCACCAATGTGAATTCTCAATGTCTTTAGGATTCCCAGGGGCCTTTCCAGCTCTGGCTCATCATGAGGATTTCTAGGAAAACTGGGGTTTTTGGAATTGGAAATCAGAGAGTCATCTGGAAGGTGGCCTGATTCATGGGAAACATGAAAATCAGTTTTGGACCCTCTGGGATGAACCAGAAGGAGCGTGATCACCATAAAGATTATTGTAACATTTAAGGTAATGGACCAGAATACAATCGGAAGTAAAGGTGGAATTGGCTTCCGCCCAAGACTCTTGACAGGTGGAGCCTTGTCAAGCAGCAGTCGTAGAGGTCTGGGCATCACCACAGTAGATTATTTCTTCTATGAAGTCACAGGTGAGTGTTCACTTGTAGGTGAGATTAGTGCTAAGGGACATGTAACAACCATGTCCTTATATGGTACTTAAAACATTTTTTTTTTTTTTTCCTTTTATAGGCTGCTATTCTCCAGACCTTTGGGAGTGAGCAAATTGAAATGGATATCTGACAAAATTCTTGAACCATGCCACCAGAAACTGGAATTTATGATAATGACCCCTGGTTCAGGGAACAGGAAAGACCTGAAGTTTATTCTAATCCTTGCTTGAAGAAGAACAAACAGAACATTGTTTATGCTTCCCTGAATCACTCTGTGACTGGAATAAACCTAAGATCAGCAAGAGATATGAAAAAAGGGTCTACAGAATATGCAGCCACATGTATGAGGAGTTAAATCTGGTCTAATGTCCCCCTGTGATCTTTGAATATCTCCATGTCAACACCATTGTCTGGGCCCAGAATGTCAAATAGGTACTTCAACTTTTGGAATTTTCATGTTAAGGAGGTTTGTGTTGGTGCTTGGATTGCAAAGTACAATAGGGACCTTGTTAGTACATTGTATATTTATGGCTATTAGGTCACATAATCGTTTTTATATAATAGCTTGGATATTAAGGGTCTGTATAAAACCAAAAACCAAACTCACTGCTGTTGAGTCGTTTTTCCGATTCATAGTGACCTCTTCTTGGGTTTCTCAGGTGGTATCTCTATGGAAGTAGACTGCCTATTCTTCCTTCCAAGGAGGTGAATTTGAACCACCAGCCTTCTGGTTAGCAGTCAAATGTCTTAGGTACTATATCACCAGAGCTCACGGGTCTCTATAATAAGGGACTAAAATTTCTCCTCAGAACTTCTTTAAAGACTTTTATTATTATAGACTTCATGAACAAAATCTACTCTCCAAAAGTGATTGAGTAGCAGAATAGCAGAATGTTGGAACTTGGTTACATTTTAAATATAAAATATATAAAAATATAAAAACTCAGCATTGTCTTTGGAGCTATCAGAGAAACAAGTTAGGAAGAGAGAATTTGTTTTATCTGGATCAGCTCACTACAAACTCTTGAAAAAGAATGTTACAGCCAAATCAACTAATTTAAAGTACAATAATGGTCAGATATTTATTTCCAGTTAATTTTCCATAATAGAACATTTTTTCTATGTCAATGTAAGATTGGGGTTTTCTTAAGGGTAAAGAAGAAATCATTTTAGATTTCATGTTATAAGGAAAAAATAAGTGGTGCAATAAAGATATGCAACACACCATTTGGATATGGATAGACAGATGTTTTCTGAAAACAAAATGCTTATATCTATGCTGTTAGATTGCTAAGCACATTTAGGTATTAATGAAACAATTAATGTATGGTGCATTTTATGGACAAGGTGGTGAGTTGGTCTTGGGTTGTGTAGATTAATGTATATTAATGTGACATAATTCCACTGAATTAATGAACTTCTGGGTGTCTAAAACCTTAAATATCATTGAAAAGAGGCATGATCAGGCAAATGCAGATTGATGAGCTAAACTGCTTCACGTTTGACCTGATAATAAATTGAAAGCATAGTTAAGGAACAGAGAAAAGTCTGAAAGGCTTATTTGGTCATTATGGCTCAACATATTTTCTTTCATCACATTTGTATCTTGCTATTCTTATTAATGAATCAGGGCAAATGAAACACAGGAAGTTGCAGCCACTTGAGAGTATAGCAAGAATAATTTGTATTTAGGATTTCTAGTGATTATTTGAGTCTTATTGCTTTAAAAATAGCCTACAACTTTATTGAATAACTTGAAGTTTCTCAGGTGCTGCCACTACTAAATAATGTGATAGTCCTCATACAAAGTGAATAACAAAGGTTTGGATCCAAATGCATGAGTTGCTGTGTACATGATGTGGATGTATGTGTGTTGTGGGTTGGTATGTAGAAGGAGAGGTAAGTGACTAACAGAAATGGTCAAAGAGAAACTGACCAGAGTGAGATGCCATTTTCAGTTTGCTAAAGTAGCCTTAGGAACTAGGCCACCAGAGCTCCTGTAAAGTAGTTCAAAATACTATAGTACATAGGTCATTAAAGAAAATATTGTAAGATGTTATGAGGATGGACATGTGAATGGAGTACACACACAAATAATGAGGTTTGAAGAAGTGTGATGGGGCTTTTCCTGTGTAACATTGACATGAAGTTCCTGCCACTTAGATTGGTGATTGTAGGGATTATTTGAGAGTTATTGTTTTAGCCAGTATGGTATTATTCCACCTAGAATTTTAAGAACCAATTTTAGGCAGGCTCTCTTAACCAAGCCTTTTTTTTTTTTTTTTTGTGGACAACTTATCAAAAGATATACTAGTATTGCTGCTTGTGGTATTCTTAAAAACAGAAACAGAAACAGAAAGAGAAAGTATGAGAAGATATGCCTTTTTTTATCAGATAAACATTAATTACACTGAATTAATGAACTTTTGTGTGTCTAAAACCTTAAATATCAGTGAAAAGAGGTATGATCATGCAAATGCAGATTGATGGGTTAAACACATACAGTCAAGCAGTTCCTTTATAATTCTCTTCTATTTTTTTTAAAAAATAGATTTCTGTTGTTACTTAGAATATTCTTAGGTCTTAAGTAAAGATAATGCTGATAATGCTTTCTCCTCTCTAGATGATGAAATTTCTATTTGTATACCATGTGCCAAAAAGCACAAACCATTTATATTTTTATTCCTTCTTAATAGAAG